AAAAAAATGTGGATTTAGGACATCTTATTATCTAAATCCTACATAAGAAGTACAATATCATTCATCCTGATCCTCCCACTGAAATACTAATCTACTTTACTGATGCTTCTTTAGATCTTTGTTTAAGAGAGATCAAATTTTGAGTGATGAATCTACAGAAGAAGGGGGAGCACTAGCACTTGCATAAGGAAGTGACCAAAACTACTTTCAGGAGATGGTCCCGCATTTTGATCATTTGGAGACTCACTTTGATCAATGTTTTGATCAAATTGAGACTCATTTAAATCAGCAGAATGCGAGGTACCAGGAGGACATGGGTTGGACCTGTTATCAGTTTGATACGATAAATACAAATATATTTATGATGAACAGCTATTTTTTAGTATTCAAACAATATCCTCCTCTAGATTAGGGCCCTTCCGAGTTCTAGATGTACTTCTTTGTTGTTGTTTCTACCATCCTTATGCGAGTGATGTGATGATGTATTTTTTCTTTCATGTTTGTAGTGTTTGTTATGTTGTTAAATTCTTATGTGATGTTGTTGGGTGATGTTATTTATGGTATTGTTAGGAGTGAATGTATGTGATCCTTTTGATATCAATGGAAAATGTCATGTTTTGGACACTTGTGTTTGTTTCTTATTTCATGAAATATTGGTATATCTTATAAGAAAAATCATTTTAAATTGATCATAGAAATAGGTTATTAATTATTTTGCTTTACAAATTAATTTCTTTACAAAAATTTAATCTTTCAAAATTTAAATTAGATTATAACTAGATTTAGATAAGGAGACTAATTTCATGTTATTTTAGGCAAACATAACTAGAATATCATTATTGTAATATTGATGTCTTATTATTTTTTTATTTCTTTTTTAATATGCTTATTTTTTTGATTAATGAAATTTTAATTTATACTATTGAACTTGGAAAGACCCAAAAAGTAAATCAAATGAAAATATACAATGTGTGCAAAAATCAAAAGAATGCGCAATGGTTCTCAAACTGAAAAGATGCACAAAATTAGCCCAAATAAAAAAGATGCACAAGTGTGCCATAAATATTTGAAAAGATGCACAATGTCGCCAATTGAATTTTTCTTTCTTTCCGCTATTATTTAATCTTTAATCTAAATCAATCTAATGAATAATAATATTCTTTATTGAATTTTAAGTTAACAAATTTTCATTTCATCATTTTTATAATAATTATCTTTACTTAATTTGTCTAGCATGAATCATGACCATGATTAACTTTTCTTATCTTAGTTTATTTTTTATTTAAAATTTTGAATTTTTCCTTTTTTTAGAATTATGAAATTAATATTATAATTATAATTAGGTTAAAAAACATTTTCTTGATCAATTCTTGTGGTTTATCTATTGAAGCATTTTATTTTAAGTTCTACTTCCCTTTTTGTTGTTGTCAAAAGGGAGAGTAATAATTTTATTTTGATTGATTGATGTTTGTTGTATGATGTGTGTATGTTTGATTGATTGATGTTTATTGTGTGATGTTTGTATGTTTGATTGATTGATGGTTGTTGTGTGATGTGTGTATGTTTTTTAGTGTTCGTTCGTGTTTGTGTTTTGTGTTCATATTTTTGTTCGAATTTGTTTTTTGATTTTGTGTCTTTTTATTTTTTTTGTTTTGGTTTAGGATTTTTTGATGTTCATGGGAATCCCTAGATTTATATTGGTCATTCTTTTAGGGGGAGCTAAGAAGAAATTTTTTGCTTTAAATGTTAATTCAAACAATAATTATTTTGCCACCATAAAAAAGGGGGGGATTTTGCAACTTAGTTTTTATAACTATATTTTCATATCATGTATGTTTTTTTATGATTTAAAATATTATTATTTTTATTACTGTTTCTCCTAATATATATTGGATATATTACTTTTATTTTTTGTGTGTACTAATATTTTAGGGAAATAATATACTAACATTTTAGAAAAATCATACTCTAGACTGTTGAAGACTTCAAATAAGATTAGATTATGGTTCATTATAAATAGAGTATGTATTTTACACTTTTATTGAGTCTGAGAGAGTATGATTATAATTGGGTAACCGAGTATTAAAACTTAATAATTTTTTTATAACTAATCATATTGTACGATGTCATATTGTACGAGACAATTTGTTCAGTTATTTCCTCCAGAAAGCAGTTAATCAAATCATGGATAGAAAAATTACTTACTATTTGTATTGTATGAAGTTGGCTTTGTAAAGTCGACGCCAAAGTTTTAAATTGATGCGAACATTTTCATCCATACGAATAGGTAAAATTTTTGAACAGTTCGTCCATGGCGATCTGGAGTTCGTAAAGACGACGTCTAGAGTACGAAATTATGGGGTATCTTTTCGTCCAGATGAATTAGAAATTTTTATAATTGATCGTTTGGGACGATCTGAACTTTGTACAGATGACGTCTAGAGTACAAAATAATGGGCTATCATTTCATCCAAACGAATAGGAAAATTTTTATAATTGTTCGTACCGTACGATATAAATTTTGTAATGTACGATCAGCTTGTATGAAAATGTTTTGTATAAGATCGTACAAGCAAATTTTGAACTGTTTGTACAGTACAATCGTCGATCGTACTCTATGATCGTGGATGCTCAAAATTGAAATTTTTAGTTTTCTAGATGGTTTTTCGTATCTTTCATATATAAGGTTCTTAAAACTGACTTAAGACAGATCACTCTTATTTTTCTTGAGAGAAAAAGTGTGAGAGTGATTGGGCGAGTATTTTGAGAGTGTGGAGAGAGATTTTTCAAGTGGAAATTGTGAAGGGTTCATAAGGTTGCCCAAAGATGAGAATCTCTTTGTAAGTCTTGTTAATCCTCTTCCCTACTTCTTTGGAGTTGCTCGTGAGAAGATCATTGAAGAAAATTCAGTTCTCTGCTGACACCAGGAGGGTGTGAAAGAATGTCAGTTGTCTGCCAATACTTGGAGAAGTGTGAAAGGATGACAGTTCTCAGTCAACACTTGGAGAAGTGTGAAAGGATGACGGTACTCTGCCGACACTTGGAGAAGTGTGAAAGGATGACGGTACTCTGCCGACACTTGGTGGGTGTAAAATAACGACGGTACTCTGCCACACCGGGGATTGGTGGAAGAGAGAAAAATTATAAATACTTCTCTGCCTTGTTATGGGGGAAAAAGGAGAGCCGCTTTGATAATAGTGCAATACTTGAAGAGGGAGTCTTCAGGGAGTGAATGTAGGTTTTGTTGGACCGAACACTATAAATTACTGTATTCTTTTTACATTTTTGTTTTTTTTTATTTTCAGCAATTTGTTGTTGTGGTTGAACAATTTATTTTTAAAGAAACCAAACTTATGAAATTTAAAAAAAAATGTTTTTTTTTATTCAAGAGGGATTTTTTTAAATTACCAATTCACCCCCTCTTCGTTAACCTTGGGACAATTGCGTAGGTCTAACAACCTATACGGTCTTTTCACACTCGTGTGATAATTTGATATGCAAATCTGCTATGTTGATTTCTAAATATGAATCTACAATGAGTTTCAGAATTATTCATTCCTTTACCTATGAACTTGCACCTGGAATATATATCTTTCTGAGCTTTTACTAACCATCACAACATTAGGTACTTCTCAGGGATTTTAACAGTATCCAGTTGCCTCAAAACTCTCATGCAGTAAGAACACAACAAACCAATCATCTTGAACTTCTTATAGGTGCATTGAATGATACTCTCTTTTATATCAAAATGAATAAACCAAGGGTTAAATTAGCCCTTGTTCTCTACGCACTCGATAAAAAACGTTAAAAAATTACTTGAGACTAAGTCTATACTAATTCCGCACACTGCCTATAAAAATTCTTTCTAAAAAAATGAATATAGTTTTCTTGAGTAAAATCGAGCAGCTTGCTTTAATATTAGGCTGCTTTTTAATTACAGGTGATATTGAATGCATTTGTAATCCTCATTCTGCTCATTCCAGTACCAAGTCATCATTATCTTCTTTAAGCCCAAAAAATAATCAGTTATTGAATTTGTGGGCTTCGAAATATCATGACACACATTATTGACAAATATACAACAAATATAAAATACGTATAAATACTCAACATACTCAGAAGATACTCAGCAAATACATAATAAATACTCAACAAATATCAATAAATGCTCACCAAATTCGCAAATACTCAATAAATACTCAACAAATACTTACTCACCAGGTATGCAAAAAATATTTAGTAAATACACAACAGACACACAATAAATACTTAGTAAATACACAACAAATACGTAACAAATACTCAACAAGAACACAGTAAATACACTATCATTACATATTGAATACGTAGTTGATACAAAGTAAATACATAGTTCGAAAAACATTCACAAAATGAACCAAATGAACTCATAGAAATTTGAAATTGTTCATACAAAACTTGCACAAAGTAAAAGACAATCAATTAAATATTTTGTACTTCGTGGTTACAAGCTTCTATACAGCTTATCTTCACTGTGTGTTGACTATCTACAAGCTTGTTCATAGGATGAGTTGAACTTTATCGATAAGTTGAATCCTATGACACCTCCAACCAAAGAAACATTCAATTAATACCCTGAACCTATCATTCTTTCAAGTTGCTGCCTTTAGGCCTCCGCATCTTGTGGGCATATGATCTACTCAAAGAATGCAACGTCCTCCTCCAAATCAATCCTCATCTTTATCAAATTTTCTCTTTATTTTTTCTTTCTCAGCACATCAAACATTATTTGAGCGAAAAATCTTAAATATTGAGAAGTTTTTGCAGATTTTTTTCTCTAAAAAGAAATGACAATTATAAAACCTAAATTTGAAGAAAGTATTTAAATTATGTGCTGGTTAAAAAAAAAGTGCTAGTTCGGGCCAGTCGGACTGAAAAAGATAAAAAAAAGAAAAAAAAACTGCGAAGGATTTTCCACGTCCACATGTAGTCGGAGGCAGAGCTACGTCCTGACTCCGCACCAAATAAATTCTGCCTGCGAGACACTTCAGTTTCTACTTGGTTCTTTCAGCACTGCTTGCTTTCTGTGGAGAGATTTCTTGTTTTTTTGAGCTGTTCGTTTTGCTGTGCTGAAATGGATATAACGGAGGTTTCGATCGTGCATCACATCGTTATAGTGCTTCTGATCCTTTGGATTTTAGAATCTATTGGGTGGTCTCTTTCCGTGCTTTACTTCGCGGCTTTATTCTACCCGTTCGCTGTAAGTATAGCTTACTAGTTAATTTGGTTTGGTTATGCGTTTCGTAGTTCTTTCTTTCATGGATTGAACAATAAAAAGTGGAGTCGTGCTTATATAGCTTCTTATGCATATGAATGGTTTGGGTATAGTTGTTATCTTGCATGCTGGTGTTGCAATTCTCTGTGGAACTTGTGGTTTTGATGTGTTTATTCATGTTATGTTGAGGGACTATTGAGTTTAGGAGATTTTGAATGTTCGACTGAGTTGATGCAGTGAAAACTTTGGTTTTTATGGAAGGTTTCGAGGCAAAATTACTATATATTTCCTCATCGTACTACGGGACTGAGCATCATCACTCTTCAAGTCTTTGTTGTCGGCATGTTCTTTTTCTTTACTATTTGTTTGTTTAACTGACTCAATCCATGGGATCCATTTATGCTTCAGTGCAGGATCTTTCGTTGGGTTACTAGTTTCCAGAATCTCTGATCTGTGTTGAAACATAGAAAGAGTTTGTCAACTATGTGGTGTAGATAAGGGGTTTGATGGCTGTGTAGGTTTAAAGCAATGCGATGGCATGCCTTGTCCTAGATACGTGGTTTCCTTCAGGAAGGAATTTGTAAAGTTGAAACAACCTTAACTTATAACTTAGAAGTCCATTCTAATCTTTATCAACCATTCACATTACCAGAGAGTTGATTAGATTCTCATGTTGTAGCTCGTGAAGCTATCTGGAAGTGATATGGTATTTATCTTTTTCGCATGTTGAAACTCCCCATCAAAGCATTAATTGCAGTGAAATCAGGATTTGCTGAATTTTACTAATGTTTAATTTATGATTGCTTATATCTAATATGTTTTCCAGAAACCAACTAGAAAAATGAATGGCGTACTGTGCTGCTGCCTAAAGAATCACCGATTGGTAGTTTTGAAATGATGCTTTAGAGACAAGTAAATGAAGAAGGTTATCTCCAGAAAAAAAAAGACAGTTATTTAGTTCAAGATTTTCTTCAGGATGTGCTTGAAACACTGATGTTGCAAGCTGAGACACGTCTTTGGCCTGTTTTCTACCATGTAGTGAAATATTTACAATGATTACTTCGAACTGTCTGAATTTTTTTGCTTCATACTTTAAGAAGCGTTACATAAATAACTAATCTAGAGTTATGCAAATAGTGTTGAATTTAAAATTATCTGTGAATCATATCAAACTATATTGAAATTACTGGGTGATAAGAGAGTAGTGAAATTGATAGTGAAATATTTCTTTAGTTAGAAGCTCTTAGATTACTATAAAATGAGCATGTATGCAAAAAATTGGTCCCTTGAGCTTACTCCTTGACCTCCCATTTTTAGATTTGGATTGGGACTTAAGTATTTCAAAATAGGCTATATACATGGCTATACAAAAAATAAAAGAAAAATAAAATAGTCATGTAGCATAATTAGAATGTTTGACTTTATAAAGTCGTCCACCGAGCTAATAATAACCCACTATCTTGCCATATATAAGTGGACGAATAGCTTGGTGTGTATAAGTTTTGTATATTGTTTAACAAAACTTTTGATATAATAAATTTTTTACTTATATGAATTTTTATCTCTGTTTGAGTTGAAAACACTGAATATAACTTTAATGAATACTTATTTCACATAAGAGAGCGACTATCACTTCAATTGTGAGTTGAGCGAATAACCAATATAGTCCCCTTTATTGAAAATGATGAATACCAAATACCAAGTATAGTTTAATAAAGAACTCAGCAAATACCATATATAGCTTCCTCAATGAAGTTGATCAGAGCTGAATTCTGAATATATGAGGAATTGGTAGTAGTCAAATACCAAATATCTAGTGTAGCTGAATTGCCATTTGTCAAATACTGAATAACAAATATAACTCAACTAATAATTTTATTGAATACCAAATATAGTTGTCTTTATTGAAAAGGGAAAATATCGAATATTGCGTATAAGTCCTATAAAGAATTTGAATAAATTTCAAATATTGCTTCCTCAATGAAGTTGACGAATACAAAATTCTAAATATAAGGAATTAGCAACAACGAAACATTGAATGCCAAGTATAATTGTTTTGGCATTTGCCAAATACCAAAAATAACTCTAATGATGAATTTAGTGAATACCAAATTTAATTTCCTTCATTGAAAAGGATGAATACCGAATAGCTAATAGATATCTAAGCAATATATTTGTCTAACTCAAATAAGGTATCAATGTATCTATATATTTCAAGTCTTACTTATTTTTTATTTTTGTTTAATATATCCCAACATTAGGTCTTCACCTTAATAGGCCTTACCTTACACCAGAGCTTTATCTTCATAGGGGTAACCATTTAAACTTGCTTGCTAGATAGAACTCACATACTACTCAATGCGAATTTTGTCACGAAGAGGGGAATCATGTTTTAAGTCTCGACTTATATTCTAAAGGATATATTAAAATATAATGCTTAAATAGTATTGAAGTATTTGATGAAAAGAATTCATTGATGTTTCAAATTCAATATTGTTGCAAATTCAATGATATGACAAGTTCATTGATGCATTGAGTTTGATAATGAGTTTTTGAAAATACAATTTAAATGTATAAGAAAATTTCGAGAAAATTTATTGGCAAATTAAGAACTTCAAATGAACATTTTCTCCTTTTTTTTTTTAAAGTTGCAAATTGCATTAAATAAACTTGAAATTATTACAAACTAACAAAAGGAAAAACAACTATCATATTCCTTCTTTATTAAACTAAACAAAGTTGAAGGAATGTTACTAAACGAAAAAAAAAAAAAACTATTTTCTAAAGCCAAAGTAGCACACAAATCGGCTACTTTATTACATTCTCTTGAGGTATGATGGAAAATAACTTTATCAAAGTCATTGAGAAAGAGTAGCTTCTCCGAAACCGAAGTGTAAGTTTGACACCTTGATTTCCTCATAGAATCTTGAAGGAACTTGATAATATTAATATTATCACCTTCTATTATAACATCTTTGCTTTCAAACATCCACATTTGTAAGAAGTCATTTATTGAAAAAACCGCCTCTATCTCCAACTGATTAATATCCCAATGAATTTTCTTCTTCCCAAATGCAGGAAGAAATCTACCTTTATGGTCTCTGATTATACCCCCAATGCTTGCAAGATTCGACTCCAAAAGAGAAGCATCCACATTGATCTTGATCCAATCTAGAGGTGGAGAGTGTCAAAAAATTTCAAACTCCATATGGAGACTAGCACCCCAATCGTCTAGCATTGGATAAGTAGAAATGGCTATGAATAAATGATCTTTTTCTCATGATGTATAAGAATTTAATATCTCATAATTTCAGATATTCTTTTCCCTTAGCAATATCTAAAAAAATTTGTATAGGTGACTTTGCTAATTGCTAATTGATCATCTTTCTTAAAGCTTTTTTGCTATATTTTAGGGAGTAGTATAGCAACTTTTAAGCTTAGCCACGAGCTGTGGTTTGTTCTTATACTCAAGTTAGTGTACCTTTTCCTTTACTTATTTGAGTTCTTTTTTAGGAAAGAGTTTTCTAATATTGATTTCAGTGATTTTTTGAATTTGGACGATTTTAATGGCTAGCTTAAACCAAAATGTGATTTTCTATGTATATTATTTCCATAATATGGTCGACGACTTTAATGGCTTGCTTAAACCAAAATGTGATTTTTCTATGTAAATTATTTCTATAATTCAAAATTTTATTTTATTTTTTGGAAATTTCAAAAATTGTTCTTTCTTCGTTGAAAATGTACAAGAGAGAAGGACATAAAAGTTATATCTCTCAAGCAAAGAAAGTTTTTAAGTTTCGCTGCTCCAAATTTCTAAAACTTTTTTGCCTATGTAATTTTGAAGCCGATAAACTCTAAAGCCGACTACTTCCTTGATAATATAAGGTTTTATTAAAGATAGATCCTAATTTGCAGAGTATTACCTGCCAAACTGTAGCATCTACTTTTCTTAGTATAAAGTTCCCTTAGTGTTGTTGTTCTTCTTCACGACGTACTATTCTTCTAGTTAATGGTATGCTCCATGCTAGACACACCTTCTAGATTGTTGTATTCAAATTTTTTTTTGAATCACACCTAACTATATTGAGAATACTAAGTGAAAAAGGGTAGAGAAATAGAGAGATAGAGATAAAAGAATTTTAGAGAGAGAAGCTATGAGATTTCTATAAAATGAGCTTAAGTATAGAAAATTGTGTCTCTTGAACCTCTTCTTGTCCCCTTATTTATAAATTTGAGTTGCGGTTTGAGCATTACAAAATAGGCTACATACATGACTACACAATAAATAAGGGAAAAATATATTAGTTGTGCAACATAATTAAAATGTACAATTTGATGAATTCTTTCGCTGAGCTAATAAGAAGTTGCTAGCTTGGCTTGTAAAACTAGACGAATAGCCAAATAACCGATTAATTGTCTTCCCATGTAGAAGAAGTCGTCCACTTGAGTAGTCATTAGGACCAACTTCATATATTGTGCACATATGTTTGGGATAAATTCATAGATCGTAGTCGCCTACTTAAGGAGAGTTCATTCATAGACTTGATACATTTCCTTAGAGTTGATATCGAGTAGACCGAGTTTTATTATCTTGAGTAGGCCCGACTTATCTTGAACATGTATTTTTTTTTATATTTGGTTGTACAAATACTGCAACTTTTTTACTTCTAGTTTGGCTACAAGACCCATTTTTAAATGCCAAACAAGGGCGTCAATGGGAAAATATGTTTGTCAAATACTAAACAAATTATTGCTTTGTGCAATTTTATTTTTAGTTCAATTATATTCATGTCTTCCATGGGCCCTAGAGTCATCAGACATTTGTTGTGAACGCCCATACCTAAGCTTAATTACGGATTATAAGAAGTCCTGGCTAGTCGTATTTTAGGTGGCTCTCTTGTTTAATTATGTTGATATAAATGAGACCACACAATTATATGTTAGACCTGTCCAACCGGTACTACGGGACCGACTCGTGCGAAAAGGCAGAAGTTCTGCCTCTCCATTATGCGCCGCTCGGAACGTCCGGGTCCAATGGAGCTGTTTATGAAGGAGTTTTTAGGAAGTTATGAGGGAAATTTGAATGTATGGACTGTTTAGAGATTTCCTTTTTGATTGTATGCATTAAATAGTTTGTTTTCCTAGGGTTAGAGAATCTTGAATTTGCCTTAAAATTTGAGATATCTTAGATTTAGGTTTTTGGGCTCTAGAGGCGTCTAAAAATTTGGGAGAGATAGATCCTCCTCTGAAATAGAGGATCAATTGTATCTTGTTATTTTTCTTCTGTTAGTTTGATTATCATAATAAAATTACTGTTCTTCTCTGATTTTCAGTTGGATTTGTGGAGATTTCTTGCTGTTTTTATCAAGATCGTTAGGTTTTACTTGAGATCTTCAAGTGTTTCATAACATTATTCTAATTTAATTATCTTTTTGTTCCTTTTGATTTCTTGATTATGATCAGATCTCTCTTTTGATTTTTTAATTATGAAAATTTGACATAATATTAAGTTTTTTCCAAAACTAAATCATATTTGCACATTATAAGCATAACAAGTTCTATTTACCCTCCTTTTCAGGTAAATCAACAATATACTGTAAGATGGAAGAGAAAATTACAGTATGAAGAAAGAAAATATGCTGACCAAAAAAGGGTACATCTCTTTCATTCTCTTTGCATTGAGGCCATAATGTATGTACATTTTTAATTTATATTTTCCTAAGAGCCATTTTGATGCTGCAATCATCAAAAGTTGTATTTTCTGCAGTTATCCTGAAGTTGACATCCCATTTGAGCAGTCTTACGGTTTTATTTTCTTAAATTTTACAGCTCCTTTCTGATTCAGAATCTGTAAGGTGGTTAAACCATGCAGTTGAAAAGGTTTGGCCTATATGTATGGAACAAGTTGCGTCTCAGCAATTCCTATTGCCCATCATTCCCTGGTTCTTGGACAAGTACAAACCTTGGACAGCTGTATAACTTTTTGTTTTCTCAGTTTCTTTTACATTGAATGTTTTTTACTTTCATAACCCGCTGGGGCCATCGATAATATACATCCATGGATTTTCCTATTTGAAATTAACGTGCCGTTGAACTTAGAAACATTCTTTATATAACACAAACAATAGATGCTGTTAACAACACAGTGCCTACTTACTTACATAATCATTCATCATTATATCCATATAATGACATCCTTGAGTATTATGCTGTAAATCTTTTTTTCCTGCAAATTTTTATGCATGGAGAATTTAAAAGTTACCGAAGAGGCTTCTGCCATCATCCTTTGAAATACGAAAGCTAACAGAGATAAACAACTGATCAAAAGAGGATTGGTTAGATGTTATTTCTAGTTGAAATTCCAAATCCAAAAAGGATTCAAACCTTTTCTTGGGTTAGATGTTCTTCAACCAGCTTACGTTACTCTGGTGAAACAATCTGTGGCTTTGAGAAACTTTAATCACTTGAACGTATCCTTGACATATGCATTCTTATAACTTGATCCTTATAGTTCTTCTGATGCAGAGTAAAGCAGTAGTTGAGCACCTATACTTGGGTAGGAACCCTCCTATGTTTACAGATATTAGAGTTCTTGGTCAATCATATGATGATGACCACTTGGTATGTCTTTTATACTCACAAATGATGACATATACCACTGCGCTCTTTTGTCTTATTCTTATGCTATAACGTCATGAGACATTTTGATCTTTTGTAGGTTTTAGAACTGGGAATGAGTTTTCTATCGGTAAAAGATATGAATGCGATACTTTCTGTTCAACTAAGAAAAACTTTAGGGCTTGCAATATGGACAAATATACATTTAGCAGGCATGCATCTGGAAGGAAAGGTAATATACGGAGCACGCTAAAACTTTCAATCGACATTTTTCCTTGCCACTGTTATGTTAAGTTGTGTTGTAACTTGGGGTTGGGTTTGGAATTTGTTGGATTATGTTACCCCTGCAACAGATATTCCTGTGAAAATCAAAAGCTGCAGAGATGGTTTCCATTAATATTTTCTTTTCTTGCCTGTTCTCTGTTGAAATACGTTAGGGTGCAATAAAGAGATACTGCTTTCCGAACCCTCGGTTTGGATTTCAATGAAACACATGTGGGATATATTAGCTTTGTTTCAACCTCACCGGTTAATCATTTCATTGATTTGATTGTTTTTTCCTTTCTTTCAAGCAGTATATCATTCTTGGGCTGGAGCCTTTTAAAACATTTTCTTTAACCCTAGATCTTGCAAAATTATATATCACGGTCCTATCTGCCATTGGTTGCATGTACTTTACCTTTAACTTGTGAATAGTAGTTTCTGCACGAAGTTTAAACGTATAAAATGAAATAAACTGTATCCGTAAGCATTGTTCAAATCTCGATTCAAGAGTGGCTATCAATGTCATAAAAACTAAGCTTCAGCATTAGTGAGAATGCAATGTTAGGAGAAGCTTTGCTGCTTGAATTTGTTCCATGTATACAGTGCGCTCTCATACTGTTTTCCTATACTTTCATTCTTATCTTGCAGCATAAATGACCAACAAATGGAAGTTATTAAAACCTGGTCTCTTCATCGTTTCCCCTTTATTACAAAACCCAAGAGGATTCATGGTTTTTTGGTGTTTTTAACATCTGCAATCCCTATATTGATCATTAATCAGCTATAACATTAGTTAAGACTTTTGCAGGATAATTTGTAGGTAGGTTGTCGCATGTCTTATAATTCCCATTGATTTTTGCTTAGGAATAAATCATGTTTACAAATCGATTATCATGCTCCAAAGTCATTTAGGCCATGGATTTGTAGCCACGTCATATCTTTCATCCTCTTCTTGTTACTTGTAATCACATTGCTCTTGCAAGTCCTTTGCCCTCAAAGGTGATTTGCAACAAGTATGATGAATTTTCATTGTTGGTCTTCATTTGCAATCACACAATTTATTGTGATCACCTCCACCATCGTCACCTTCAACTGTTTGCATCCACTACCCTCCTAGTGCTATTTGCAAGTTCAAATGCATTTGCTCGTTTTTTTACATTGGGCATGAATTAGCTTTAATTTTTGGCCATTATCTTCCTTCTCATTGTTTCTTGCAAGCAGATCCTCATATTTTCTATAATCCTTATTGATTATTAGTTGTAGATGGGTCAAGTGACATGTTGCAAATCTTTCATTTATATGCTTATATCTTAAATTCGTCTTTGCATTTGCACATTGCCTTCGTTACAATCCTCTTGTTGCTGGAAATAAACTCCACTTGCAACATTCTGTCTTCAATGAGGGTTTGCAACATATGAGATGAAATTGATATCATATTTGTCAATTTTTCCATTCCAATTGGGACGATCGTCACAAGGCATAGTTTAAAATTGCGCAATAAGAGGCGCGCCTATGCGCAATTTGACCCCCAAGAGCCTCATTGCTTAAGCAATTTTGGGACTTGGTGAGGCTTACGCCTCATGCAACTAGAGGCGCGCCTTAGAGGCGCAATTGCACAATTTTTGGTGAGGCGTACGCCTCATGAAACTGGCCCCACTCACTTAAGTTCATAATAAAAAACCTCATTTCTTCCTTCTACCGGCCTACCCGAACCAAACGAAGAGCTCCGCAACTAGTTCACAGACTCCGCACAATCCCGCCCTAGCTTCCCTCGGCCGACCTTCCCGCCGCCTCTCTCGCCGGCGCCGCCTCACTCCGGTGAGCCTCTTGTGTTTGGCCACCCTCTACGACACTTCTTCAACCGGTTTGAGGTTTTTTTTTTAACTAAAGGTATGATTTTTCAACTTATAGAAAATCAAGGGTTTAAATTGTTTTGAGATTTTTTGTTTGATTTTGCATTTGTGCATTAAGGAAAAGTCTAATACGTCATTGCGGAGGGACCCTTCTTGGAAGTACAATGTACAAGTTGAAGTAGGCGGCGGTGAGAAAACTTACGCAATTAACAGCATACTAATCATTCATCTAGAACATGGAAGAGAAAAGTAGTAATATTGAAAATAATGAAGATTTAACATTCATAGATATAATTGGAGATGAAGATGCCTGCACTGAAGACTCATGCAGTGATGAGACATGATTGGATTTTAGATGTTTTTTCTTATTTGTACTTTAAGAGTTCTATTAGATTTTAATTTGTAGTTTTGTACTTTGAATTATGCTATGAGATGCATATATTGCATCTATTTTTTTGTTTTCCACTAAGTTCACTTCTCTTTTAGACATTTTTTTTATCATACACTTTTACTGTTATTTATCTGCTAGAATACTTAAATTCTCATTTACGCAATTCTTCGTCCACGAGGCTTAAGCTTCACACCGCCTCGAGGCTTACTACGCCTCGCCTCACAGACGAAAAATGCCTCGCGCTTATTTCTGCAATTTTAAACCTTGTCACAAGGTAATTGCTATTGTCCAAACATTCCATTTCAAAGCCTATAATGAATTTATAAATGAATCCTTGTTTGTTTGCATGAGATTTGAACTAGCACTTTGCATTTAAATCGAAATGCCAATTTCCCAATATTCCATTGGAAATATTATGTTATTGTTCAAATGAAATTTCTTATTGATCACTTGTCATTTGGATAGTATTTTCATTTCTTCTCTTTTTTTAAATGAAGTTTTATTCAAAGTCATTTTCTAATGTTCAAATTTATTTGATCTTAATATTCATTTGAGTCCAGATCTTATATGATTCCTTCAAGTTCTTCCTGTCGTTGTCCAAATTGAATTCTTATGGATCATTTAATTCAAATTGAATATAGTTCATTGTCATTTAATTAAGCTTGAGCTCATGCCGATTGCACTTGGTTCAATTAAGTTTAAGTCTTTTTCATTTAAGCTCAAATTTTTTGGTTAGTCATTTAAGTTCTAAAACATATTTCCTGTTGTCCATATAAGTCTTCTGTTTATATCATTTGAGTTCAAGTCAAGTCCTTAACTTTGCTGAAAAATCTGGCAGCCCCCCGGCGTCTCTCCCGTTTAAGAGAAAATTCCAAAAAACTGTGGGCTCCGAAAATTCGGCCCCGGCCTCCGCTCGCTTTTTCTTATTCGGCGAGGGAGTTTTAACGAAATAAGTTCCGAGGTAAATTTTGGAAGGCAGATGGGTTTGTAGATAAGACACTACCCAGAGATTTCGCCCTCATTTTGTGAGGACTTTATGATATGAGTTCTGGTTTCCTATAGGCGCAAGCCCCTATAGTTAATTACCCCTCTCGATCACGAGAGAGAACTTTCGATTAAGGCTAGTCGTCAATCAGATACGTATTATATATATAGTATTACATAACTATAATAATAATAATTATAATATAAAATAAATACCTAATCAACTAAAGGGGTTGGGTAGCTGGATCTCACGGCTAAGGCAGAGGGAGGTCGGGTAGGAGCAGGAGGCCGTGGGGTTGATCGGGGAGAGCTTCGGATGGAGGGATCCAGGAGGCGTCGGCTGCTTGGGATCGGGCAAGGTGGAGTTCGGCCAGGTAAGAGGAGCTCGGTACTCTCCCTCTCTCTCTTTCTCTCTCTCTCTCTCTCGGGTTAGAGGATTGACGGGCTGCTGGAGTGAGGGGCTCGGCTGTAGGGAGAAGGCGACGGGATCTGAGAGGAGATCGGGAGGAAGGGGGATTTCGTGGAGTTTCGTCTGTGGAGAAGGTGTCGTGTGTGTGGAGAAATTACGGGGGCTCGGCTGTGTTTTATAGAGGCGGATGGGGTAACGATCGAGGCCGTCGTCGCAGGTTTCGCGGAGAAGCGACGCGAACGGCGCCGAAGGAACAGTGCTTCGGCGAGATTTGAGCCAGATTTTGCGGAGGAGTTCTTGGATCCGACGGGTGTTAGGTATGTACGTTGGATTCATGGCTTGTTCTCCTCTCGTTTTGTTTCTACAGAGGTTAACAAAAACATGGCCTTCCCCTCTGTGCTACATGTGCGCTTCTGGTAGGTGTCAAATTACATCGTGGTCTCGTTTTCCTTAATCTCCGCTACGCTACATTGAGTGCTTAAGGGTTTTCATGTGCATAATTAAAAGACAGCGCAATTTTTCTTACCCCCGCGATGCAACATGAGTGTTAACGGTACTTAATTTTTTGTCCACATTACACTACGTGAGAGCTCCGAGGCTTACCCACCTCGTTGTAAGCATCGCACCGGTTCCCCCCCTACCCATCGTGTTATGCGAGCGCATATAGAGGTTTGTCGACTTGTTGCAAATGTCGAGAGAGGTACTTTTTAGTTAGAAATTCTTATACCTGCACAATGGTTAGAGTCGGCAACGCGACGATGAAAGGCACAAAAATATATTTCTTTTCCTTCTCATTTTTTTTTAATTTTTCTCACTTCTTTCACTCTCTCTCTCTCTTTTTTAATGTTTCTCTTCTTCTTTTTATTTAACTCTTCCTTTTTCTTATCTCCACTAATCTCTTTTTTTTTACACGCGTGCGCGCGCGCGCGCGCGCGCACACACACACACACACACACACACACACACATATATATATATATATATATAGAGGTTCGAGAGAGAAGCTCCAGGATTGCGGTAAGGATTTTTGAATTTTTCGTCTTCTTAGCGGCTTGGCGGGTCTTTTTGGGATGCCGATGGGCTCTTCAGTCACCATATCTGGTGCCGGAAAGCTCTGGGTTCGGGTGATCAGGTGTCCGTTTGCAAGGTTGGGCAACTTAACCAGAAGAATCAAGAAGGTTTTCGTCCGCTGGTGATCAGGGAACCTTTGGATATTCCTGGTAAAGAATTAGAGCAATGCTGTGGGAAAGGTAAGCAGGTTCTTGGATCGGTTGATGCTATGACTCCCATTTCTGTTGAAAGTTCAAGAAAGATCGAGAAGGAAATGTCGTCGATTACGGGGATGAATCTTGTTGTGCAAGAAGTTGGGAACATCGTGTCTAAGTCTAAGACACAATTGGAAGGAGCCCCTTCAGTCCAGAATGTTGCAAGTGACACGATCACTGTTTGTGAGTTTGCCGATAAAGGAATTCAGCCTGGTGGTTTTCAAGAAAAGGTGGGGCAAGCAAATCTGTGGGTTAAGAAATCCCATATCAAAATAAATCTTGTTGATAAAGATTTATTTATGTCACATGATGGTGTTGCTGTAA